TAACGATAGACAGTGGTGTCCCAGTAAGGAGGATCTGAAACCCAAAACTTAAACTGCTTAGCACAACACTAGATCACTAGAAGAACAATATTAAAATATTCATGTAAATAAGTTTACATGTGTTTTAAGAGGTCTAAAATTAACCTATAGGTATTTTGACTGAATATGTGAGTGTGATGCATCATGAACACAGAAAGCTTAGCAGCTTAATGCAGACCTTGCATATCTAGTTAAGAGCACAAGAAACCTGATCTGCAGCAAGACAGACTCCGATCAGATGCCTCATGCCAATACAAAGAATACAGTGTAAAATATTCACCATGCTCCCTCGCTGGTCTTGCAAATAGCACAGCAGTGCCGTGATTCTTAATAACTATATTCAGCTAAAACCTCACAATGGTTTACATTCTGTTAATCATGACAGTGCTATGCCACCCAAAGCTATACAGCTAAGGTCTCCTGTTAGGCACGAGCAGGAGCCCTTGACTGGACTGGTATTGACCTACTGGTGCTGGAAACAATAATCGCAGATGCACATTAAAGCAGGCTAACCGACAGCTGACAGAACTGGCTCCTGAGTTAAGAGACTTCATTTTGCATTGATGTTTTAAGACAAATGCAGAATGTAAATGAAGATACTATTTTTGCTCTGGCCTCATTGCTTAGTAGTAGGAGTGTAGGAGAACCAAAATGCATGAACACTCTCACTCTCATCTAATTATGAGATCCAATCAGTGAATAAGGTGACAGCCGGCAGCCTAGGACGTCAGCTTCTGAGAGGGTGATGACTTAGCAAACCACTGGTGCCACTGCCCCCAACACCCTGCATGTTTAAGTAAGAGTGAAACTGAGCAGTGAAGCTGGCCTGGGGGGAATTTGTGATGTTGGTAGTTTGCTAAGTCAGTGTCCCGTCAGCAAAAGGTGCACCTACAGCTCTACATGGGCTTCGACCAGCACTGCTCAGATCCATCCGAAACTGGCTTTTGCAAAGCAACGAATCTGCAAACAAAATATTTCAAAATAAATAAAAGTAACAATTAAAAACAAAAATATATTTTTCAGAGTATTAAAAAGTCAGCTTATGAAAGTAAACGTCTGTGTGTACATCCAGAATAAATTTGCAAGCGAGACAAAGGGTCACTGAGCCCTGATCTTCATGCAGCTGCGGTATTGATCCCAGGTTTAAAGAGGCTTTTCTTCTCTTCGCATGTTGCTAATCTGATGCTAACTCCACATGCACTCATGTGACTAAAAGCCTCTTCTGTGACTGTGAAAACGTGTGGCTTGGCACTTATAATGGATGAAAAGCGAGCCGTGTGGAATACGCTGTTACATAATCCGGCCTCCTGCCGAGACACTCCAGCGTCACTGCTGCATTTTGCACAGTTAGAATTGGATGCTGAGCTGAAATGACGGGATAGGCAGCCCTAGCTTGGGACTTTTATAATCCCTTTGTTCCAAAACTGTTACCTACAAAACCGTCAAAGTGGTTTCATCCAGGTCATGCTGGGCAGCCGTATCACTAGAAGTGAGTCTAAGCTAAACCATTCAGTAAAATGGGTTATAAACGGGGGGGGGGGGGGGGG